TTTTTTTTTGGTCTTTTTTGAGACAGGGTCTCCCTGTAGCCCCAGCTGTCCTGGAACTCACTATGTGGAGTAGACCAGGCTGGCCTTGAACTCAGAGATCCACCTGCCTCTGCCTCCCCAGGGCTGGGATTAAAGGTGTGCACACCCAGCCCTTTGTTAAACTTTTAAAGATTTCATTTTTATTGAATTTTTGTAATTTTTATGTAATATAGTTTGATGTTATTTAGATCTGCACCTTTCCCCACTGCCTCCAACCCCAACCCAATTTAATGTACTCTCTATAGCCTATAGAGTTTTATTTGTGTGCCCAAATATCCTTCAGTATGGGTCCATCCACTGAGCCCATTTAAGAGTTCCATCCCTCTAAGACATTGTCTCTTTGACTCTTTCCCTCCCCACAGCCACCAGTTGCTAAAAGTTCCTTAGGTTGGGTTGGGATTTCTTACCTACTTCCCTGTGTCTATAAGGAGATTTTGTCTGGTTTGGGCTTGCATAGGACTTGTGCATAGCATTATCAAACTTTAAAACCTTCATACAGAATTATGACACAAAGGAAAATATTATACATGCTGCCAAATAGTGTATTGGAAATAAAAAATAAATGTCTAAACTGTTTAGCATTATGAGTCTCATAAAGATTATGAAGAATTTCAATGTACAAAAATGAAAATGTAAGCCAGGTGTGATAATGCACGCCTTTGATCCCAGCAACTTCGGTGGCAGAGGCAGGAGGATCTCTGTGAGGTCAAGACCAGTCTGGTATCCATTGCAAGTTCCAGGCCAGCTGGGGCTACAGGGAGACCCTGTCTCAAAGTTAAAAAATAAAAAAAGAGAAGAAATAAAGATAGGAAGAAAAAAAAAAGTGAGAGGCAGCAGATAAGAGCACTGGCTGTTCCTTCAGAAGCCTAGGGTTCAAATTCCAACACCCACATGATAGTTAACAACAGTCTGTAGCTCGGGTTCCAGGGGATCCAACATCCTCTTCTGACCTCCGTGGCTATACCAAGACATGGGCGTACTTACATTCATGCAGTACACTTACATTCATGCAATACACTCATATACATAAAATAAAAATAAATTTAAAAATTAAAAAGAAACTATAGCATGTAAAAAATTGATTAATAAATATAAAGTGGTATTTAGGGACAAAATGGATAGATATAAGTGTTTCCCTCCCTCTTTCTGTGGCACAGGAGATTAAAACCAGGGCCTGTTCATGATAAGCATCATTCTATAACTGAGTGTATCCCTAGTCTAGTTTAAATGTTTTTATAAGAAAGAAAAAACACTATATAATCAATGACCTAACCTTTCACTTTAAGAAGAGTAAAGTGAGGATCAAAATAAAGAAGATAGAGTCATATTAAGCAGATAGAATAAAATATTTAAGACAATTCCTAAAATCTAAAAATAGAAAATAATAGAGACTACTAAATAATAGTAATCATAAGGTAAACGTCTTCTAAAATAACACCAAAATCGTTAAACACCTAACCAAACTTTTCAACATGAAAGAAGCCAGAATCATCAGACTTAGGAATGAATAAAGAGATATCAGTACAAAGCCTATAGAATCTAAAGCATATGGGGATGTTTAGAAGAGATTTATGGGAAAGCATTTTAATACTGAGAAGAAATTAAAAATTGCTTCAAAATTATAACTCACC